CAGTATGAACATTATAAAAATATTCATTCCTTCAATCTATGAACATATGTGTCTTTCCATGCATTCGTGTTTTCCTTATTTGCTTTCATGAAATTTTTGTTGTATTCCTTGTGCAGATCTTTCATCTCCTTGGTTAAATTTATTCCTAATTATTTTATATTTTGTACCTATTATAAATGGGATTATTCTTTTCGTTTTTTGGAAAGTTCACTGAGAATGTATACAATGCTACCAATTTTTGTGTTTATTTTGTACCTGAAAATTTATTGCTTTCATATATTGGATCCAATTTTTTGTGTCTGTGGCGTCTTTAGGGTTCTCTCTGTGTAAAATCATGTGGACAGCAAACAATGACAAGTTTACTTCTTTTTTTCCTAGTTGTATGTCTTTTATTTATTTCTCTTGCCTAATTACTGTAATAAGTACTTCCACCACTATGATGAAAAGAAGTGGCAACAGTGGCCATTCTTACCTTGTTGCAAATTTTAGATGATAGCTTTTCAATTTTTATGGATCTTTTCGTTATTATACTACTGATTATAATGTTAGCTGTTGGTTTATCATATATGGCCTGTATTGGATTTTGTTACACACTTTCTTCATCTAGTTTTGAATAGTTTTTTTTTTTAAAATCAAAATGTATGTTAAACTTTGTTACATTATTTTTCTGCATCTCATGTCATGATGTTGTGGTTTTTGTCATACATCCTGATAATGGAATGTATCCCGTTTTTTGAATTGCACATGTTGAATCATCATTGCATCCTAGGGATAAATTGCATTTTATCATGTTGCCTTGTACTATTAATGTGTTATAGAATACAGATTGTATTTTATTGAGAATATTTTCATGTATGTTTATCAAGGATATTTAGGTACAATTTTATTTTCCTGTGATGTGCTTGACTGGCTTTGTTACCAGGAGAAATCAGGTCCCAAACAAAGAATTTGGAAGTACTCCCCAATCTTCACTTTTTGCAAGAGTTCATGAATGATTTGTTTTATTTCTTCATTAAATGTCTAATGTAAACAACAGTGAATCTTTCAGATCCTGGATAAATTTTTGTTGTGAGAATTTAATTAATGATTTAATCTGTTTACTCATTGATCGGTTCAGGTTCTCTATGTCTTCATGAATCAGTCCAAGTGCATTGCATGGTTCTAATCTTTGTCCCTTTCTTGCAGTTTATCCAATTCATTGGTGTATAATTATTCATATTCCTCAATTATGATTCTTTATATTTCTGTGCTATTAAACATTTCTGTTTTCATTTCCGATCTTACTTGAGTGTTCTCTTTTTTCTTTGATAGTCTAGCTAAAGATTTATAATTTTTTTTCAAACAGTCAACTCTTGGTTGTATTGTGAGTTTGCATTCTTTTATTAGCTTATAATTTATTTATGTCTGCTCTGATTTTTATTGTTACTTTCCTTCCACCAACTTTGGATTTAATCTCTTCTTGTCTGTTTCCTGCAGGCATAATATTGTGTTGTTTGACATCTTTCTTCTTTGTTATGCAAGGCTTTAGTGATATGACCTCCATTTTTAGGATTACTTTTGCAGCATCCTATAAAGTTGTTATGTTGTGTTTTAATTTTAATTTCTCTCTAGACTTTGTTTCTTAAGTTTCTTTTTAAGTTCTTATTCGACCCATTTGTTGTTAAGGAGAGATTGTTGTTATTTAATATCAATGTATTTCTGAATTTTCTGAAATTTTTCTTGTGATTGATTTCCAGGTGTGTAACAACATGGTCAGGAAAGATACTTAATATTATTTCAGACTTAAATCTGCTGAGACTTTCTGTAAGGCCTGTTGTATGACTCTTCCTGGAGTATGTGTGTGTATCTGAAGGATGTGTAAGCTGTTGCTGTTGGTTGGAGTGTCCCACGTGTATTTGTTTGGGAGGGTGGTTTGAAATCAAGAAGTCTCATATTTTCTTTTTAATTTTCTCTTTCAATGATCTACCCATTGTTGCAAATGGGGCAATGAAGCCTCCTACTTTATTGTATTGCAGTCTTTTCATCCCTACAGATGTTTACATAATTGCTTTATATATTTCAGTGCCCTGATGATAGAGGGTATTTATTTACAAAAGTAATATCGTTTATATGAATTTACAACTTATAATTATGAAAGGTCCTTCTTTTTCTTTAATTACCATTTTTGAGTTGAAGTCTACTATGTTCCATGTATGTATAACTATCCCTGCTCTACTTTGGTTTTCATTTTCATGAAATTTATTTTTTCTATAGCTTCAATTTCTGTGTATGTGTGTTCTGAAAAGTTAGGTGTGTCTCCTGCACCAGAGAAATAGTTGGGTCTTTTTATTCATTTATTTGTTTAACCTTTCAGTCACTCTTTCTTTTCTTTGGATAATTTAATCCATTTATATTCCTAGTAATTTCAATATGTAGTGACTACTCCTATGTTTTGTTTGCTGGTCATATTATAGATGTACCATTGATTTCTAGTTTTCTTGGTAACTTCTTTGTGGTTTAATGGTTTTTTTGTAGTGGTATGCTTTGAATAGTTTCTATTTTTCTTTCATGTCTAGTATAGATTTTACATTTGTTGTTACCATGAAGCTTATATAAAACACCTTACACTTAAAAGTGTCAATTTTCAATTTATAACAAGTGAATTGTCATTGCATATAAAAAATGTTACACTTTTACACACAGCCGTTACATGTTTCTGATGTCAGAATTCACATAATTTTGTAAGATAACTGTTATTAATATTTTTTATTTTAACCCTTTTTGAGAAATAAAATTGTTTCACATACCAACATTATGATTATAGAGTACTCTTCATATGTCTCTATGTTAATTATACCATTATGTTTTGTGCTTTCATAAGTTTTACATTATTAATTAGTGGACTTTTTCAGCTAAAAACCCTCCTTTTGGTACTATAAGGCAGGCGTAATGGTAATGAACTCCATTATCTTTTTTTTGGTCTGAGACTTTTAAAAATATCTTCCTTGTTTTTGAAGGAAAAAAAAATATCTGGGAAAATATTCTTTGTTTTCAGATTTTAATCATTTTCCTCATCACTTTGACTATATAATCTTCTCTTCTAACATTAAGTGATTCTGATGAAAAATGTTTTGCTACTTCTCTTGAGAATGATATCTATGTTTTGTGTCTCTTGTACCTTTCAAACCTTCATGGGAGACCCCCCCCCCTGTGAGTTTCCATACTACTCGCTCTGCTCCAGAATTCCTCAACATCAGGTCCTTTCATCAGATGCCCTTTTTCTGGGACCAACCCTGATGCAGCTGCCCTGGCCCTTGCAGACTCAGCCAACAGAAGTTCTGGTCTCCCTAGGAGGACACCTGCCTTCTTTGTTCCTTTGTCCCTGTCCCTCACCTACATGCTGAGCAAACACATTCCCCTATCCAAGACCAGGGCACACATGGCTTCCTGTAGCATGGTATACGCTCAACAGCACCTGAGCCGGGAAGCTCTCCTGGACTTTACATAAATAAAGTATGTTTTCATTCCCTAGGAAATTTGAAGAGAAAAATATTGTAAACAAATAAAAAACAAACAAACAAAAACTCCAAAGGACAGCACTCCCCTCTGCCCTGATGGCCCTGTCCCTTCCTCCACACTCCATGATACACACTGTCATGTTGTCACCCTTCTTCATCTTACTCCAAAGCCATCACACAGGCAGGGCCCGTAGAATACTGCGAAGCCCCTCATGCATTTAATGTCCTCCTTCCTTGCAATGAGGACTCATCTGTGTCTCCAGGAAGACATAAAAATTTCTCAAGAATGGACATACCTTCATAGGATGGAGTGCCTCATTTTTCAGGAGAATCTGCCATGATGAAACAGTACATTTTGGAAGAAATCTTTTGTGAATCCCATGTGGTTTAGAGACAAATCATTGTTAAACAGTTGAACCTGGTTCTTTCTTGATAATGACAGGTATGAGAGTAAAACCAAGAATAATTTTGCTCTGCATAGAAAGAAGGACAACACAGAAGAGGTCAGTCAGGAGGAGCAGAGAGGGGAGGACGAGGAAGATCTTGGACAAAGGACCATCTGGGGCAGGCACTTCACACAGGAGGACTCAACAGCAGAGTGCTGTGTCATACATGCTGGGACCACAGAGACAAAACTCACAAAGACCTGGATACCACCACAGAGCACTCAGCACACTGAGGTTTCCATCTACAGGTCTTCCTGATGCCACAGGTGTTGAAGGTGACTCTGTGAGAGTCTCAGTGGACACATCCCACTTTGATCAATCGATCCTATTCTCTCAACTACTAATGGCCACTTGAATTTGTAAAGTGAGTCCATGCCCAGGTGACAGCAGGAGCGACCCAGTAATGGTGGGTGGGATGGTCCCATCAGTCTTTCCCAGGTCCCACAGGAGGCAGAGCCTGGCCACACCTTAGCTCCAGGTAAAGGGCCTTAGCTGTGGGATTTAGACACAGATACTTCATCCTCCATTTTCTGGTGGAAGAAGGAGAAGTGGAACATGTGAAAATAGAACCAAAGAAGAAAGAAAATGGACTTGCAGAAACAGATACAACTGAGTCAGTTCTGCAACAGGAATGTACAGTTTTAAATGAGGAGAGAACAACTTGAAACGTTAGGTTTTATGAGACACTGAGCTTGGCTGAGGTCCCTACATGTCCTAATCTGAATCCCAGAGACTGTCCCACTCAGGGAGTCCCGCTGAGGTCTGTGCACTGAGTCTGGTTGGAAAATGCTCAGCAGATTCCCCTGGGCTTCCTCAGGACTCTGATCCACATGAACATGGCATGGTCATTTCTGCCCATGTGACTGATGTTCTGCCTAATGTCCAGGTGAGAATGTGTTCATTTAGTACAACAAGACATTTCTAATTCAGACACTACAGTGACAAGCACACAGCCATGAAAGATAGGTCCCAGGATGAAATTTCTAGAGAGGAAGGCCCAGACTCTGACAGGAAACCAACCATTATTGGCCACCTGCAGCTGCTCCTCAGCTCTTTCTTAGGCTTCCAGGGTCCCACACTCCCCCCTGGTGGCACTGTGCATCCACACAGGAGGTTTGTGTTTGGGATCACACTGATGTCCCTTCACTGTGTCTCTCCCACAGTAGTACACAGCCGTGTCCTTGGCTCTCAGACTGTTCATTTGCAGATACAGCGTGTTCTTGCTGTTGTCTCTGGAGATGGTGAACCGGCCCTTCATGGCGTCTGCGTAGTTTGTGTTACCACCATCACCATTAATTTCTCCGACCCACTCCAGCCCCTTCCCTGGAGCCTGCCGGATCCAGCTCATCCAGTAGTCACTGAAGGTGAATCCAGAGGCTGCACAGGAGAGTCTCAGGGACCCCCCAGGTGGGACCAAGCCTCCTCCAGACTCCACCAGCTGCACCTCACACTGGACACCTGCAAACACAAGACATATCCTGGTAAGAAACGGCCACAAACACTCGCTGTTTCTCTCACTCACATCCACTCACACACTCATTGTATCTAGTTCTCCATGAATTACCTTGTAACAGAGCAACAAGGAAAACCCAGCTCAGCCCAGACTCCATGGTGAGTCTGTGTGTTCAGTCCTGATTACAGAATGGGGACACCTGGGATTGCTGGGGCTCCTCTCCCAGAGCTGCAGGGTGAGGCTGGGCTGGTTTTCATCAGCAGAGGGAGGGCCCTATTTGCATGTCCCCTGCTATATAGCAAGCTCTGGGTCGGGAAGCCTGAAGGATGGAAGAGCTCAGAGAAAAACTCTGTGACTTTACTGTGATAAATAATTAACTGCTGTTCATTTATGTAATTTACAAACACATACAAACCATGTTCTCTAGGTGTGAATTTTCAATGTATTTTACAGATGTAAAAGTAACCCTGGGCACAAATAGAAGTTGCGAGCTATGTCCAGGAACACATACCTGGGAAGAATTCTTCTCAATGTGTAGCCTATGATGCCATCCTTGGAACCCACTGAACAGCAGAGTTGCACATTCCCAAAGTGGTTTCTAGAACCCTGATTCTGTAAAACAGTGTAAATCAAACTTCTTGTCTCAATTTTTTTTTCTTAAAAATATATAAAATCCTTGAACAGACAGGCTGAATGCAGGTGTATTTTCAAGTACGTAATTTTTGACTTATTATCTATTTGTTCAGCACTCCTTCCCCAACAAATCATCTACTAACTGTTCATATAAACTTTAATGTGGCATGGTTGATATACAGTGGCCTTAACATAGTTAAATTGTACAAGTGAAAGATGCTGACAGCACAGTTGCCCTGTCTGCAATATTGTGGATATTGAGTTCGCTCAATGTTTACACTGGTCCTTCTAAAATTCCTCCTTCTTTGCACTTCACTCTCCCTCCATTTACTGAGATAACTGCCAATATAGCTTGTTACTTCAGTTTGCACTTTCTAGAATTTATAATAGTGGAATCATGTAGCAGGTGATTTTTTGCTTATTTTAGTCACAGTGCATACTGTGGATGCAGCCACGCTGCAGTGTGCATGAAACTGTCATTGTTGTTAATGATAGGTAGTGTTCTAATGGATCATTTACAAAAAAATACTTGTTTATGAAGCTACTAGTTAATGTTGTGATTGTTTTCAAGTCCTTGCTATTATAAATAAAGCTTCTCTTCACCTGAGAGTAGGAGGGAGCTTAGAAAAATCTCTTCTTCTTATGTCACCCAAAACAATAGCAACATCATTGCCATCTGTAAAACATGACTGCAGAAGCTGTAGATGAGCAAATTTCATTTAATATTTCAGGAAATTGAAGTTATATGTCAAACAGCAAACCTGAAATCTGCATAGAGCCCAGTACTTGAGGGGAGAACCAGGACCAGAGGATTAGCTTATAGGCACAGTCCACAGGTTGGCATGTGGGCTAGGACAAGGCTATACTGGACATAGGCACTGGATTGATGGAAGCTGGATTTAGTAAAGGGATTACAGTTTAAATTTCCATGTGTCACATGTTTGGGGAATTCCTGTTCTATTTCCTTTAGGTCATTTCCTCCAGGACTGGGGAGACATGGTAAGATGGTGCCCTCCCAGATGGTTCTGTCTGAGAGCGAGGGAGAACATGTTTCTGAAATGCTTTCAGGCCAACCTCTCCTGTCTCCTACAGATCTATAGAATTACCATTCTGGGAACAAGAGGCAGAAATTAGTGTCCTAGGCCACTGCATATCCTTTCAGGAAATGGGACTGGAGGAGATGTCACCACTGAAGTTATGCTCAGAAACACGACTCCTCTCCATCATGGGAACAAAGGATTGATTTCAAGGACAGGCAGCAAATCTGGAGGTTCAAGGGGCTAATGGAAAACTGCCCGAGCTGTGGGAGACAAGAACCAGGAAAAGAAAGACACTGAGAAGGGTATGAGGGCATCATCACCTCTTGTGGAGGGACAGGACAACGCACACTGGCATGGTGCAGAGCAAGTGACACGATGCTTGCCTAGGAAACCGGCTCAGGGAGGACGTCAGAGAAGGCCTCCTCAGGTCAACCTAATTCATCATATCTACAAGTGGTAGGTAAATGCAAAATCGAGACTAACCTAGGCAAGCAGAAATAGATTGTCTGATAGAATATGGGCTGTAAACAGAAAGCCAGGCAGGAAGCACATACTATCTGTGGAGGTGTCTAAACTCTTTTGTGGTCATAGCACAGAAAACCTTCAACACTTGGAGCCACTTCAACAATAAATTCCAAATGCAAGTCTGACTAAAGTCAAAGAAACTTCCACAGTACAGGCCTGGAAAGCGTAATGTGTGGATATATACAGGACAAAAGTACATGAAATGAAATAATAAGTCAATGGCAACCATAAAACAAGCGTGTCTGGCAGTTAGGAAAAATTATAGGGTGTCCCAAATCGAAAGCCAAACTCATAATGGAGAAATTATGACAATGAAGTTTGTACATGAGGTATATTAGAACTGTCTTAATTAGGAAAAAAGGGGCGTATGCATTATTAATGTGTTAAAATATTGAAGGGAACATAATTTTACTAGAACACAAGGTAATTAACTTAGGTAGAAAAATGGAGATTGTAAGGAAGAGTGAATTGGAAAGACATTGAATACTACAAGAAGAATTAAGTACAAATAGTCCTTGGACATCCAAACCAGGTACATTGTCTCATCTTTCAAAAGAAATCATGGAGCTGAAAATAGGTGCAAGGAACTACACCAGCAAAATGCAAAGGAATAGAATCATGAAGACAAAAGAACATCAGTATCAAACGTTGTCATATAGATGAGATTGGAATCCCCAAAGTAGAAGTAAAAGACCAGATATGGAAAAATATATTGATGAAAAATGGTCACAAATGTTCTAAACTGAATAACAGATGTAAAATCACATTCTTGGGAATGTAAGAGCAATTTCAAGCAGGAGAAACCAAACATACACCCCTGCTGCTGATAAATACTTGTGCATATGCAAAAACTAATGCTTATGTCCACTCACGAGACACCCATTTCCTCTATGTTATTACTTTAATTAACTGAATTAAATTTAGTTCTATTTGTAGCACGAGATAGTCATTCTAATCTTGTTCTTCTATGTGTATGTCCATCTATTCCAACACCAATAAACAAATACATTTAAACACATCTTTTTGTTAAAATATGAATGAAAATTCCATCCGTGGCAAACATTGAATTGGAAAGTAAGATGTCATTGAGTTCTAAGCTCTGTATTGGTTTACTTACCATGACTATAACAATCTTTCTAAGCACTGGGGCTTACCAAGAGATCTCACAGCCCAGACTGCAGGAGACACTGAGGCAGGGCCCTTAGTCCAACTTATCACTTTGGCAGGAGCCCTGAACCTGGCTGACAGGATACACTCAAATCTATCCACAGGGTGCAGGTGCACTGCTATGAGCTCCTGACCAGCCCCTAGCTCACCCCCGCAGGGAGAGCAGATGGTGCTCACTCTGCCACACCAGGTTAAGCAGGTGTATGGGGCAGTGTTAGTCTTCCACTCAAGAGACAAGAGCCAGAGGCGGGGTGCTGCCACCCAGACCAGGGTGTTGTGGGGAGCATGATTAGCTGCAGGAACTTGTCTGGCTTCAGTGAGAATGAGGAGAAGGAGCTGATTCACCAGGAATGAGGAGATACAAAAGGACCTGCTGTCCTGTTGTGTGGATATCCAGGAGACCAGGAGCTTTGATAGAACAGTGAAGAGGAGGAACTGTCTCAGGGTGGACAACCAGTAATCAGGTGGAGGGGAGAACACACTGAAATGGTGGTTCATCTCCACACAAGGCAGGTAAAAGGCAGGGGCTAAACAAACCCCCAGAACATACAGAGTCTGCACAGAAGTGTTTTCTCCCAAATGACCACCAAGCGTAGGAAACAGAAAGCCAACCATGGTAATATGGTGTGGATGGTGGGTTGGTGATTTCATACTCCAAATATTTTACTGAAAGTTTATGGATAGCAGAAAAGTGAAAAAAAATAAGGCCTAATTTTGGATTGAATTCAGGTCCTAAGGTGTCCCATTACAAATGAATGAAGCCAGGGCATTACAAGGAAAAAATCTTGGACTCCTGAGGAAGAAGAGTGACAGGCAGAGACGGTAAACTCCAGGCTCTGAAAGGAAACTTCAGTTTCCCTCCACACCTGCTCCCGAGCTGGGAAATGAGCTCCTTTGTGGACTCCAGCTGGGGCATGGGCGTCTGCCCCGATGTCCCCGGGCCCTGTGTCCTGCTTGGTAGCTCCTGGGTGCTGTGCTGCATTGTGTTGTCCAAGAGAAAATCTGGTATCAATTTTCAGAGTGTTGATAATCAATGTACATTTTGGGACAGGAGAAAGTGACTGGAAGCCCCTCTCTATCTTTAAAGCAGGTGAGAATATTTTCTGTCATCTCCACAAACATATCTAACTCAGAGACCGCAGAGGGAAGCCCAGAATCGTGAACTCAGAGAAGTTCCCAAGAGAAATCATTGTATGGAGAAGAAGCCATGACCCCGAGAGGAAACCAGACCTTATCCTCCACCAGCACCTGTCCCGGGATGACTGTGTGCAGTGGGTCTTGGCACCCCTGTGGGGAGATTTGCCCCTGAGCTTCATCGATGTCCCCTCACTGTGTCTCACACAACAGAGCACAGGCATGTCCAAGTCATTCAGGCTGCTCCACTGCAGCTTGGCAGTGCCAGTGGAGTTTTCCATGGAGATGGTGACGTGACTTTGGATGGATGGGCTGCAGTGGGTATCTGAGTCACTGGGACAGATCATCCCCACCCACTTGAGATCCGTCCCAGGCATCTGGCACAGCCAGAAGATGTGGCAGCTGACAAGGCTGTATCCAGATGCCCTGCAGGAGATTGTCAGAGACTCCCCAGGCCTTTTCACCTCTATGCAGACTGCACCTGCTGCACCTGGGTGCAGACACCATGTGGGAGATGCAGGACTCAGATCTGGGGCTCCAGCAAGCCCACTTCCTCTGGGACCAAATCCCTGAGCTGGGAATGACCTTCATGTACAGTCAGGAGGGGGCAAGGATGGTGGCAGACCCCATCCTGGAGGACAGAAAGGGCAGCCCTGAGGACCCCAGCAGGGTGTTGAGGGAGGCCCACTGTGCAGTTGGTTTAACCAGGATGTTCCCCACTTGAGTTTGCATTTGACCTGCCCTGCCCTACATGGAAGACTCCCCAGGGTGCACAGCTAAGCACCACTAGGGCAGCAGGGGGCTGAACTGAACTTCCTGGGAGAGGCAGAAAAAGGTCCCAATAATCTCCCCAACCTCTGAAAACACTGTGGTCCATGTGCTGCAAGACTCTGATTGGGGCTCCATCTCACTGACCCTTCTCTGAACTTTGTGAAGGAGGCTGTCAGAATCTAAATAGAATCACATATGGGGGAAAAGAAAACAACCTACAGAATGCAGCCTGGAGAGACTGTGAAGTGAGGATTTCGTGCATAAATGCCACATAACAAGAACTGTCACTCTTCTTCACCAACTGCCATTTTGCACATGAGCCTGATAGGGGCCTGGGCACCCATCTGGGGGTGAGGACAGTTCTTCCAGCCCTCTAACCATCCTCACCTTGCTGATTTGCCAGACAGACACCCATGGCATTCAGGGCAAGTTGCTAAAGTCATCTTGTCTCCTGCATTTCCACATTCCTGCAAACAAGCATGAACAGGGAACATGTGCCTAGGTTTCTGAATGTCGGCAGACTGGAAGGGACCACCATTGCTCGACCCAACATCTCTTAGTGCTGCTTTATAAATTTGTGTCGACCTGTCACTGTCCTCTTCAGCGGCCTCTTTCTCTAGTGACCATGTAAAGAGGCTGACTTTGCTGGGATGAGTCATTTCCCTCTCCCCTGTGTCTGTTCCATTCTCTTTTGTATCCATCCCCTTCCTTATTATCTTTGAGGTCCAAAGGCATCTCTGAGGGGGAAGAAAATCCTACACTGCTGCTAAAGTATTTCTCGGATCTTGCACAGTAGGGGCAACTGGAGTGAAGAACCAAAAGGACCTCCCTGTGTCCCAGCTTTCTCTCGTGGCCTGGGCAGGGTGCATAGCATGTGATGCAAACCCCAACTCCATAAAGCCACATCAGCAGGACTTGGGTACATAGAATCAGTTCATCTGGAGAGTCCACTTTGCTCTTCAAAGGAAGTACATTACCTTATGGGTCACCAGACTGTTATCTCCTGTACCGGGTTAGTTATCCCACCAACAACAATGTGTCATGTGTTGGGATAAACTGCACCCACTCATGATGGCCCTATTGTAAGATGTCAGTGCAAAGTCCACACAAATGCCTCCTCAGTCATGTGGGGCACAAAGCCAAGGAGATTCTGCCAAGCTTGTCAGTCCCGCAGTCCCTTGGTAAATATTGCTCAGGAATCCGATGAGGTCTATTAACGGCATGAATCACATCACAAAATGATGCAACTCTTTCATGCTACTCTCTGGATTAAGCACTTTAATGGTTTTCCCTCCCCTGCCATATACATGGAAGACCTTCTTCGACACTGTGGGCCATAGTAGTTTTCTGCAGGACAATTGTTCATCTTGATGGTGGATCTGAGCTTTGTAGCCACAGCTCAGTGTGCACAGGGCCAGGATCGACAGCAAGTTTATTGCGTTCATTTCAGTTATTATTAGTACATATACAGATTGTATATTTATTTCTGATTATCTCTACATTGTCTTAGTATTCAGGAAATGAACTCCTACAGTGTTGATCTACCGTTCATACCCCCACTGATAACTTTTACCTCCCACATCTTATTGGAGAGCACGTGCTGCCTCACACCATGTGACTCTGTGAGCACGCAGGCATCAATGGTTCAATCCCCCAGCTTGCCATCCTTTACTTTGCTAAGCAATGTTTAGCCGTGTGTCAACGAGGCAGGGTCATTCTGGCAAATACACTTCTGGTGTAATTATATTGAGTCTTCCAAGACCCGCTCATCCTCTATGACCAATATAAATACAGGTCTTAGAATAAGATATTATACTCTTGGTCAGTTTATTACAATAACTGATATGAATTAAAATCAGCAAAGGTGCAGAGTTTAACTTCCTGTGAAAATAGGTGCAAATGCCCAGGTGTGCTCTTCCAGTTTAGTCTCCTGTGCACCTTCAATTCTCCCAGCAGTGATGTCTGATGACATCTGTTCAGGATTGTCCTCAGGGAAGCTCACCTGAGCCTTGGTGCCCTGTGCTGCTCACTGGGTCAGTCACAGGTGTCACAGCACCTGCATAACTGATCTCCACTGCTTAACACCAGCCCCTGGGGCATGAACTGGCATTCACCATAAACACTATGTGATCAAGTACTGCAGTCTATTAACCCCCAACGTAGCAACTATAAACACAAGATAAACGATGATAACAATAACATAATAATATCAGCCAGTAAGGGGGGAACATTGGGAGGCAATAGATATATTTATGTCTTGATATTGGTTAAGTATATATATACACCCAAACTCAATCTGTTCTAGAAGTTAAATATTCTAGAGTTGTATACATAAAGTACACTTTAATAATGCTGGTTTAAAAATGCTATTATCAGAAGCAATATGCCAAGGAGTCAGAACCCATCTCTCCAGAGGTGGCCATGGGTGAGTTGCCAGAATGGACTTTTTCAAGAATGCACATGGTTTGGACAGCCCAGACCTGCTGAGTTAACCCTTTCCTATGTATGAGTCTAGGTAAGTTGCCAGAGGGCTGCAAGAATGAAACTCATGACTTGGAATAAAAGAGAGAGTGAAGAGATATTTAAGGTCAGTACTTATTTGAGGGCAACATGGATGGGAAGTGATGCTTTGAGCCTGTGCAGGGACTAGAGGGCAGACCAGGGGCATGAGGTCAACCATGGCAGAGGAGTTCTCCAGAAGCCAAAGCAGCAGGTGCCACATTGCAGGGTGTGGGGCAGTGGCCATGAAGAGTCCATGAGGGGTGCAGTGGAATAGGGGATTTATCAGGTTGCAGGCTGAGGACAGAGGGGAAGAAACAAGCACATTTTCCAAGAGAGCACCTGCAGAATGAAGGTTCAACAAGTCTCCTTCCTGGACCTCCATCCCTACATCAAAGAGAGATTAAGTGATTCCCCAGCCTGGTGGATACAACTGAGTATGAGCGTGAGGAAGCAGAAAGGGGTGTTCCTGAGAGAGGAAACCCTGGACCTCACAGCAGTCCCCGTCACCTCACACCAAAGGAAAAATTAGTCAAATAAATAGCATCAGAAAGTAAAGGGAAAACATTATGACTGATACCACCAAAATACAAAAGAAATGACAGATGAAGGCTCTGACATTGGTCAAGGTTGCCTTAGTCTTCCCAGAGCACAGGTAGGTTGTCATCTCAGCACCAAGTATGTGCACTGAGAAGTGAAGTTGTTGGTGTCCACAGGATTCTGGGCAATGCAGTGAAATTTACAAACACTAATATTTGTATGAATATGAAAAATCCACTTTTGTTCAATCTCTGAGTTTCCTAGAATAATTCAGTAGATTCTGAGGCTAGATTCAGGCAACAATTTATGCTCCCCAAACATGTGACCATATAAGAAAGAAAAAGAGATGTCAGGGGAAGAAGGATTGAATCATCACCCTATCATGTATGAGGGAAATATTCAAAATAAAACCCAATTATCCTAATTCTGAGCCCCACAATTAGACCTGAGCCACTTCCACTGGAGTGGGGCTGCTGAGCTCCCTCCACTAGGGAAGGGTCAGACCACACAAAGCTGTTCGGGGGTCTCTGCAGACTCTGTGGCCTGCAGGGTCAGCTCCTCCTCAGACTCAGCAGTCGGATCTCTGCTCTCCGTCTGGGTCAGGGGAAGGCTTGTGTCTGGAAATGACCAAATCACTCAAGATCTCTGCACATGGACAGAAACCAGTGGGTGTGGGAAACAGCTGGTCATGCTACAGACAAGAATTCCTTGTGTGAATGGAAACACTGAGAAATTTAAGGGAAAATGTGGCAAATATGTAAATTATAATTGTTTGCAGACTAAATGCTAGCTTTTATATACTATCTGAGAAGCTCATGTAAAACAGTATTATCTTTTATAAAATCTAAGAGCAGTGTGTGCGCCCTGAGGATTTGCCTCTCTGCCTACACTTACAGGTGGTCCAGGACCAGGGACCCGGTTGCCACTCTCCACCATCCACCCCCTGGTGTGTGCTAAAGACCCATGTCCTGAGGGGGCCACCTCCAGGTGATGACACACCTGGCAGGGCCCTAAGTAACAGTCATGGATGGGAGGCACGGTGGTCCTAATAAGGGCAACTTAGTCTCACACAGGCACGGATGTTGCTGTTGCACTTTGCTTGGACTGCAGTGTAGTCAGGAAGTTCCACTAACCTCCCCCTTCTCTCCATCACTGGATGTCACACCTGCAGCCTGGGCAGACAGTTTCCACAGCCTCACCCGACTCCTGTGCATTTTTCTTCTTCCATGAATAGTAAATATTTTGGTGGCATGTGAGAATAGTTTCTCCTCATATAAGAAACTTTTCAAGTTTATGGACATCATTGGTAGGCAAGGAATTTTAAATATAGACAGGCTCCCAGCTGAAACTGTAAGATACAGACGGAGACTAGGCTTTCGTGGAAAGCTGACCTTAGCCTCCTGTGCATCTGACATTAACCTCCATCTGCACTTGCCCTGGGCTGAGTCTGCTTCTTGTGTCCTGCCTGCCCCCTGGTGGCCGTGCGAGACCCTGCGGGAGGTTTGTGTTTAGGCTCACACTGATGTTCCCTCGCTGTGTCTCTCGCACAGTAGTACATGGCCGTGTCCTCTGCTCGCAGACTGTTCATTTGCAGATACAGCATGTTCTTGCCATTGTCTGAGGAGATGGTGAACCGGCCCTTCACGGAGTCTGCGTAGCTTGTGCTACTACTGTAAATGTATGAGATCCACTCCAGCCCCTTCCCTGGAGCCTGGCGGATCCAGTGCATGACGTAGTCATCAAAGCTGAATCCAGAGGCTGCACAGGAGAGTCTCAGGGACCCCCCAGGCTGGACCAGGCCTCCCCCAGACTCCACCAGCTGCACCTCACACTGGACACCTGCAAACACAGACATATCCTGGTCAGAAACTGCCACACACACCCACTGTTTCTCTCACTCACACCCAATATCACTAGTTCTCCAGGAATTACCTTTTAACAGGGCAACAAGGAAAACCCAGCAAAGCCCGGACTCCATGGTGAGTCTCTGTGTTCAGTCCTGATCACAGAATGAGGACACCTGGGAATGCCAGGGCTGGGGCTCCTCTCCCAAAGCTGCAGGGTGAGGGCTGGGATGGTTTTCATCAGCAGAGGGAGGGCCCTATTTGCATGTCCCCTGCTATATAGCAAGCTCTGGGTCGGACAGCTGAGTGGGGGCAGGGCCCAAAGAAAAACTGTGTGACAGTACTGTGATTAATATTAACTTGTGTTGGTTTATCTAATTTACAAACACACATAAACCATGTGTTGTAGGTATCAAGTTTCCATGCATTTTACACATGTGAAATTGCCCAAAAACCATACAGAGGTTTTGTGATATGTACAGGAACACATATCCTGGCAGAATTGATCTGAGTCTCTGGCCTATGAACCCATCCTTGGAACCCACTTCACACCAGAGTGGACATGCCTACGGTGGTTCCTAGAATTTTCATTCTTGATAAGAACATAAAGCAAATTTTTTGCCTTCCTTTTATTATATATATATATATATATACATATATATATATATATATATTGCCTTCCTTATATAATATATACAAAATTTGAAACATAATGTCTATGCAGATGCATTTCCAAGTACCTCAACTTTCACTTATTTTTATCTATTTGTTCCTCAAGTCGTTCCTACCAACTAACCAATTTAACTGTTCATATTAATTTTAGTGAGGCATAGTTGATAAACAGTGGACTTAATATAGCTGAAGTGTGCAAGTGAAAGGTGCTGACAGCACCATCACCGTCTTCAAGATATCAAGGAAATAAATTCCCCACAATATTCTGACTTGTACTTTTAAAATTCCTTCTTCTTTCTTTCTCTTTCCCTCTCCCTCCAGTTACCCAGGCGACTGCTAATATAGTTTCTGTTACTTTACATTAGTTTTCACTTTATAGAATTTAGAAAAGTGGAATCATGTAGAAGGAGATTTTTTGTCTTAGCTACTACCTGTACATACTTGTGGATGCAACCACGTTGTAATGTGTGTGGCACATTAATTCTTGTTAAATATGGGTAGTGTTCTAATGAATCATTTAAAATTCATATTTATTAAGCTACTGGTTAATATTTTGATTGTTTCCAATTTCTTGCTATTAAGGACAAAGCTTCTCTTCCTCTGGGAGAAGGAGGCAGCTGAGAAAAAGCTCTTCTCACAACAACCACAACAATAGCATCATCATCACCATCTATAAAGCATGACTGCAGAAGCTGTAGATTAGCAAATTTTATTTAATATTTCAACTAGCAGAAGTTATGTTACCAACGGCAAGCCTGAAATCTGCAGAGAGCAGTACTTGCAGGGAGAAACAGGACCAGAGCAGTAGCTCATAGGCACAGTCCACCAGGTGGCTAGGACAAGACTATACTGGACATAGACATTGGATTGCTTGAAGCTGGATTTGATATAGGGATAACAGTTTGAATTTCCCAGTGGTCACATAATTGGAGAATTCCTATTCTATTCCCTCTGAAGTTTCTTCCTCCAGGATTGGGGACACATGATAAGGTGGTGCCCTCACAGATGGTTCTGTCTGAGAGAGAGGGAGAACACGTTTCTAAAATGCATTGAGACCCACCTCTCCTGATCTATTCAATTACCCTTCAGGGGACAAGAGGCAGAAATCAGTGTCCTAACCCACTGAGGAACCTCACAGGAAATGGGAGTGGAAGAGAGGTCACCAGCGAAGTTACGCTCAGAAACACAACTCCTCTCCATCACGGGCACAAGGGCTTGATCTTCAGGGACAGGCAGGAAATCTGGAAGCTGGAGAAGCTGATGGAGAACTGCCTGAGCTGTGGGAGAACCGGGAAAAGAAAGACGCTGAGAAGGGTACGAGGGCAGCATCACCTCTTATGGAGGGACATGACAGCACGCAAGGGCACAGTGCAGACCAAGGAAAATGCCTGCCTACGAACCCGGCTCAAGGAAGAAGTCAGAAAAAGCTGCCTCAGGTCCACCTCTTCCACTACATCAACCACTGTCAGGTAAATGCAAAATCGAGACTAACCTGGGCAAGCACAAATCGATTGTCTCAGAATATGGGGTGTAAACAGAAAGCCAGGCAGGAAGCACACACCATGTATCAGTGCAGGTGTCTAAACCCTTTTGTGCTCACAGCAGAGAAAACCTTCAACACTGGGAGCCACTTCAACAATAAATTCCACATGCAGGTCTGACTAGAGCCACACAAACTTCCGCAGTATAGGCCTATAAATGTAAGGTGTGGACATATACAGTGAGAAAAATACATAATATGAAAGAATAAGTCAATGCCAAGCACAAATCTAAGCATCTCTGGATAACATACAAAATTATGGGCTGCAATAAATGGATATCAAAAAAGTCATAATGAAAAACATATCAGAATGAACATCATAGATACATATATTAGAACTAATAATTAGGAAACATAAAGTGATTATGAGTACTGTGTTAAAACAGAAAGGGAAACATAATAATATCACAAATCAATATAATTAACTTAGGTAGAGACATGGGGATTTTTAAGGAAGAGTCAAATATAAATGCTTAAAATATTTAAAAGGAATTCAGTACAAACAGGCCCTTTGACAAACAAACCAGCTGAATTGTCTCCTTTCAAAAGAAATCATGGACTTCAAAGTAGGAACCAGGAACCACACAGCAAAATGCAAAGGAAAATAACAATGAAGAAAAACATCAGTATCAAATAGTGTCATATAAATATATAAAAGACCAGACATGGAAAGTAAATATTGAAGCAGTAATGGTCACAAATGTTTTGAACTTCATGAAAGATGTAAATATCACAGATAGAAGGATGTAAGAGAAACTTAAAGCAGGATAAAATACACACACACTACTGATACACACATGTGCATATTACAAAACCTAACACATGTCCCCACACACAATGAGCCCATTTTCTCCATCTTATTATTGTTATTTAACTGAATTAAAATTATTTCTATTGATAGCATGAGATAGTGTATAAAATTCATTTTTTTTCTGTGTCTATGTCCATCTATTCAAACCTCAATAAATAAATAAATATATTCACAGACCAATGTGGTTAAATCTGAATGTAAAAACCATCCTTGGCAAACATAGGATTGTCAAGTCCAATGGCATTGAGTTCTAAGCTCTGTGTTGTTTTATTTCCTATTTATGACAGTGATGTTCATTCTGGACACTGGGGCTTAACAATAGATCTCACAGCACAGGCTGCAGGAGGCGCTGAGGCTGCGCCCTTGCTCCATTCCCCACCCTGCATGACCCCTGCACCCAGCTGACAGGATATACCCAAGTCTATCCAGAGGGTGCAGGTGCACAGAGATGAGCCCCCTCCTGACCAGCCCCTGGTGTGCACCGCCAGGGAGAGCAGATGGTGCTCATTTTGCCATACCAGGCGTAGCAGGAGGATGGGGCATGCCTTAGTCCTCCACTCCTGAGACAAGAGCCAGAGGTGGGGTGCTGCCACATTGACCAGGATGTTGTGGGCAGCATGATCAGCTGCAGGAACACGTCTGGCTTCAGTGAGAATGAGAAGGAGCTAATTCACCAGGAATGAGGGAGAGACAAAGGGCCCTGCTGCCTCGCTGTGTGGATGTCCAGGAGACCAGGAGCTTTGACAGAACAGCGAGGAGGAGGAACCCTCTGCGGGTGGACTAGCAGGAGCCATTCAGAGGGGAGGGCACACTGAAATGATGGTTCTTCCCCACACAAAGCAGGTAAAAGGCAGGGGCTAAACAAACCCCCAGCACATACAGAGCTGTGTCTCCAGAGAAGTGTTTGCTCCTGAAAGACCAACACAGCATAGCAAACACAAAACCCTTCAATGATGCAAGTGTGTGGATTGGGGGTCTACGATTTCTTATTGCAAAGACTGTACTGAAAGTTTATGGCTAGCAGATGACTGGAAAAAAAAAGTCGCCAATTTGTACTGAAATTGGGCTCTAAGTTATCCCCTTTCAGATGATGACAGGTCATTACAAGGAAAAACTGTAAGAGTCCTGAGGAAGAAGAATGACAGGCAGAGACAGGAAACTCCAGGATCTGGAAGAAAACCTCAGCTTACCTCCACACCTGCTCCTGAGCTGAGGATGAGCCCCTGGTGGGCCTTGAGCACCCCCTGGAGGCCCCGCGTGCCCCTGCAGGTCCGTGTCTGGACTCCCCCTGATGTCCCCTCTCTGTGTCTAGCTCAGACACACAGGACCGTGTCCTCAGTGCCCAGGGAGCTCAGCTGCAGGGACATCTGGCTCCAGGACCTGCTTCTGGAGTCAAAGATGACTCTTTAGGGATGGGCTGTGGCATAAGTTCCATCTTCATGGAGCACCTCATCCATGACAGACCCTTCCCCATGGGCCGGGGGACCCAGTCCCACAGAAGCCACTGGTGTTGGTGGAGAATCCACACACAGGACAGGTGAGGAGAGGGTCTGCGCAACGTCCCCAGCCCCGGGTCCACTCCTGCAGCTGCCTGGGACAGGACACCTGGGGACAAAGAGGACCCAGCCCTGCCATCGTGTGTTGTCACAACCATCCCCCGGACCCGAGAGTGACAGCTGAGACACCATCCCACTTTGCCTTAGAACACAGCTCTGCCCTCCCCAGAGACCTCAGCCCTGCGTGAGGAGGGAGCTGTGAGCTTCCCCAGCCCCAGCGTGGATTTACCTTCGCGTCTGAATGAGAGTTGTCTGTCGGGAGCCTCGTCTTATAAATGGGGAAGGACTGACATCCAGCTTCCCCTGTGTTTCCCAGACCCTGGGGGACATTTCTGCTCTTAACTCCGGGAGGACAACATTGGAGTTCGAATGAGTCTACGATGCTCATTTTAAACATGGCAAAGGAGGGCCGAGTATTCCGAGCACAGACCTGCCTTTGCTCAAGTCCCTCCTCCTGCCAGCCCTTCCCAGCCCCCAGCCCCACTTTCCTCCGCGCTCTGAGGTGCCAGGACTTCTCCTCCACGCTCAGCCCAGCACAGCTCTGGCTTTGTCTCCCTGGACCTTCTCCTGTGTGTGGCTCTTGTCAACCTGGAAGCTTCTGACGTTGCTACATTGCTGTCTTTCCTGAGTCCCA